TTAGGGGAGATAGTGAGGCTTATCTGAATTTGGGTTTGAACTTGCAGACAAAAGATTAGTGGATGATATTGAGGATAACTACCATACTTTCTCACCCTCACTTCTTTGACAAGAAAGAAAATTTGGGCACATGAGTCATTGAGCTGATACACAAGTCATTGAACTGATATATAATGTATTTACACAACATTTTATAAAAATGTGTATTTTATAAAATATATATATATATGAAAATTATAGAGACAATGGCTAGGGTAGGTTTTCATATCCATGTGTTAATTATCTCTATTTTATAGATGAGAAATTCCATAAAGCCTTTGATACTATAAGAATTGACCAGGCTTCTGGGAGACAAATCTCCATGAGTGTCCTTTGTTTCTGTGTGTCTTATAAACAGAGGCTTCCTAACTTCCCTTTGTTCCAGCTTATCTTTTCAAGGATATTGGCACACAGCCTGGAAAGATATGGTGTCTCCCTCTGGTGAAAGGGCAGGTAGGCTTACTGCCCATTATAAAAGACTAGGCTCTCTAAGCCCAGGGTCCCCCTCCTGAAATCCAATCCACTGCACTTATAGGCATCCTTCCGGGTCTATCCGGGTTGTCCCCATGACACTTGGGAGCAAGGAGAATTAACCCACTGCCTTGGTTCACAGAGCTTGCTGTGCTCTGAGTAACAAAGTCCTTTGTCTCTAATCCAGGAGTCTCATGTCTTACGCCAGCAACCATGAAACCGTGGCAGTTAACTTGCCACTGGGGTAAAATCTCAGGCCCTTCACACTTCAGAAGACAGGAAAATTTCTTTTCTAGAGAGGTCAAATTTGTCCTCATCCTTATAGAAAAATAAGGCATGTGCTTTGGCATCTGTTAGATTAATAACAAGTAGGTCCATCTTAGAGCCTAAAGAAATAAAGGAAGACAAAAAGGCAGTAGGTGGGGGGTGCCCCTGAATGTTAGCCAGGTGCTCAGAGACAAGGCTAAGTAGAGTACTACTATTCCCATGTCCATACTCTCAAAATGCTCATCACTGAAAGCAAGGGTTGACAGACTGGCCCATGAGCCAAATCTGGCCCATACCTTTTTCAGTAAGTAAATTTTTATTGTCTAGGCATTATTGGTAGTGGTTTGTGAGGGACAATAGCAGAACCAAATTTAAAACTTTGCTACTTATTAGCTGAGGGATTTTTTGATAAGTCACTTAACTTCTCTGAGCCTCGGTCTTGTTACTTGTGAAATTCCTACACATCACAGGGTCCATGGAAGGATCACACAAAGGCATAAAATATTTGTTATTGTGTATCCCATTTTCCAGTAGAGGAAACTGAGGGACAGAGAGGTTGGGTGTTTTTGTTAAGGTCACGTAGGTAGGAAAAGGTAGATGCACAACTTAATTTCTGCTCTGGCTCTAAAATCTGGACCTTATTACTGCTATTATATTGCCTCTCAATATTAAAGGCCTATAGAATTCATACATAAAATCACAATAGAATTTACCCTTTCCAACAATACTTATTATTTTTTTAAAATTGTGACTTGTGGGTTGTTTATTGGCGGATCCTACAGATCTTTTGTCCTGTCTGGGTTCTGCAAGAGCCTTATTTGAATTCATTATGTTAATATATTCCCACCTGATGCTTTGATGGTTATCCTTTGAAGTCAAGTCCATTTTTATTATTAAAATAATAACATTCATGGTTTTAAGAGTATAAGTCTAAGCAAAGCTTTTGCCAGTTACCTATATAACAATATTCAGGTAATTTTAATGAGAGAATAGTGCTTTTAAATACTAAACTGTAGATAAGTGATTTGTTACTATTGCATTGTTTTAAGAATCAACCCCCAAACAGTGATATTTTCCATATAATTCTCATAGAGTCCCTTGATCCTACCCTGAGCAGGGCTGAGTTAGAGGGGGGAAGAAAGCAACGATCACCACCAGTATGTATATTCCAGGCTATCTGTGAAGAGTTCTAAAGGAAAATGTACCATCTCCCCAAACCCCTTAAGCTGTATCCCCAGATACTCCTCGGGCAGAGGAATAGTCTGGTAATATCTTGCTGTGAAACAAGTTAGTATATTTAAAGAATTCTGTGTCAATAAAAAGAAAAGGTCAGTACTCATTCGATTTTACATATTATTTTGAGCATCTAGAAAAGTATTTCTCATTGATGACAGTACCGCTTCTTTGACAAGGAAACAATGCATTTGCCGTCTGATGTGTGCTACTCAAAGTGCAGTGTAGACTTGAATCCGCGTTATGACACCTGCCCCAAAGTTGGAGGCCTGGGGAAAGGATTTTACTGAACTGTCCATTTCTCCATGCATAGCTGCTTTAAAAAGTTAGATATTAATTTTAGGGGCGCCTGGGTGGCTCAGTTGGGTAAACATCCGACTCTTGATTTCGGCTCAGGTTATGATCTCAAGGTCATGGGATCGGACACCACTTTGGGCTCTGTGCTGGGTGTGGAGCCTGCTGAAGATTCTCTCTCTCCCTCTCCCTCTCTTCCTCCCCCCACCCTCTAAAGAAAATAAAAGTCAGATATTAATTTTAATGAAATGGTTTGATCTCCAGAAGAGAAACTGTGGCTTTTGCTTCTGACAGAATAACAACAAAAGCTACTTTAGATTGTTTGGAAACTTCACAGCCACTATGGCTGCACACTTCTGAGGTGACAGGGTAGGATTCTAACTCAGATCTTCTTGGTTCCAGACATTACCCAATATTTCCTGGGTCTAGTTCTGACCAAATTACATGGTATGTCAGCACAGAGCAGGTGATTCCTGCGCTGGTGGTGTAGTGGTTGGCACAGCTGCCTTCCGATGCAGGTAATTTCTGAAGAAGATCCTCGGCCTTTTCTCCTCCCCCTGCAGTGGCTTAGAAGGTCCTATATTCCAGGCTGCTATTGGCCTGGGTCCTTGGGTGACTGTGTGAAGCAGAGCCCCTTCTACCGACCTCTGTTTGACATGTAATGTGATAAAAGACAAGCTCCTGAGATCTGGGAATTGTTTGTTGCCACTGTATAGATGTCTTATTTAAATACTGTTGTCTTTGGCTATTCTCCAAGTGCGTTGTCTTTTCCTCATTGGTTTATAGAAACTCTTTGTTTGTTAAGGATATTGACATGGTGTCTGTTAATGTATGCTGCAAATGTTTTCCTCCCTATGGTTTTGCTTCCTTTTTTTTTTTTTTTGCCAAACAGAAATATTTTTGCTTATGTGGTATTTTTCTGAACAGAAATTTAAAGTTTTATAGGGCTAAATGTGTCAGATATTTTCTTCTATGGCTTCTACTTTATCTGTCAGAAATAGAGGATGTTCCTTTGCTAAGATAAAAATTTTCTCATAGTCATTTACTAAATAGGCTATCATTGTGCCCTGCTCCTGGCAGGGAATTAGAATTAGAATTAGAATTAGAATTATTTATCAATAATAAATCTGTATATATATAAAGATTTCATTTTTTAAAATATTTTTTATTTATTCATTTGACAGAGCGAGAGAGAGAGAGAGAGACAGAATGTGCCCAAGCAGGGGGAGTGGCAGGCAGGAGGAGAGGGAGAAGCAGGCTCCCCACTGAGCAAGGAGCCAGACATGGGGCTTGATCCCAGGACCCTGGGATTGTGATCTGAGCTGAAGGCAGACACTTAACCCACTGAGCCATATTTTATATGTACATATAAAATATGTATCTGTGTCTGTACTCTTGATATTGTTCTATTTTTATGCCCATTCCATACTAATTTCTTACCACTTTTTAATATATGTTCTGATATATGATGGACCCAGTTCCTCTTCATTTATTGCAAATATTATTGGCATGCACATGCATTCATTCTTTCAGATAAAGTTTCCTATCTGTCAGGTTTCAGAAAAGGCAATGTGCTGGGATTCTAAATGAGATACTAAATGTATATATTAATACGGGGAGCACTGAAATCTTTATATTGCTGAGTTTCCATCAAGGAAAATGATGTGTATCTTCATTTATTCAGATCTCATGAAATAGTTTTCCTTATTAAATCTATTTCTAGGTACGTTATACTTTCTGTTGCTATCGTGAACATGTTGTCTTTTGGTAACACAAAAGAGATGAACTTCATAGAACTGTCTCAAAATAGAATTTAAACTCAAACCTGCACAATAATTTCCTAGAAGCCAGCTGAGAGAGACATTATACACAAATGTTTCTTAGATGAGAAAAGGGGAGGAGGATGGCCCTTGGCCTGTACCAGGCTGAAAAATATATTGTCTACCCGGACCACAGCACAGTGGCTCCGAAGGGAACTTTTGCTTCATTCCATCTTGCCGTTAGGCCATTGCCTACAAAAACCCTTTTCAGGACTTACTAGGAGGTTGTTTTTCAACGATGTTATTTTCTATATTACATTTGTCATCTGTATGAAGCTCCCAAAGAGGAATTCCCCTGGTCTTTGTTCCTCCTGAGAAACTGCTTTGTGCTTTTAGCCAGCGGACCCTATTATAAATCATGTAACTGATAGCATTTCCCACTGCCTTGTCTGCTAGAGAGCTTAGCGTCAAATTTTCACCCACTGCTAACAAATGCATGGGATTTTCATGGATGCATTTGAATTCTAAGCTTATTCCTGGCCTTGTTGAACTTGCTTTCCAACACTTACGCCTGTTTTTCATTTATTTTTATCTTGTTACATCTTACATATCTTTGTAATCCACTTTAAATGTGTTCTGGATCAAAACAGACTTGAAAATGCTTAGACGGGTTTGCATCCTATAATCCATGCCCCAGTTCACGAAATTGCATGATAAATATAATTACCACACCATTTGATATAAAGAACTTTATTTTGAAATAAGGAAATACAAATTCTTTGAAGTTATACATCGGTTCATACAGAATCATCTCAGCCTTCATTTCTAAAGCCAAGCTGACTTTTAAAAACCTCCTAGTAAAATGATTACAGTAAACTTTAGACTTAAAGTCAGGCTAGGATATATGTACTTCATGACAGTCATCATATTACTAGTTTTTATTTATCTTTTTAAATGTGTGTTTGTTCCCTGTTTTGCTCTCCATACTCAGAATGCAATTTCTTACAAAGATTTACTCTCTTTCCTTATCTAAAATTTTCCAAAAAAGGATTTTTAGCCTACACAAATGCAAACAACTCATTTCATGGCCCAGCATGAAAATGTGTAAAAGCAAATCAGAATTGTTTTTAACTGGAGGTATATATTTAAGTAAAACACAGACAAGACAAAAGACAAACACAGTTTATGGGAATAGGTTTTAGAAAGATTTTTAGTTCAGTGACGTATATTAAGTGATTTTCTTAATAATACTTTTTTTTATAGTGGGAACAAAAAATTTTTAGAATTTGTAATACTAAAATCGATCTATAGGTATTCAAACTATCAGTACTCTCACTTAGTGAGACGAGACATAGTCTTAGTGACTTAGTCACTTAGTCAGTCTTAGTGACTGAAGACATAAAATACTATTGAATTTATTTAACCTAGTGTTCCTGAAGCTTCTGGACATGACAGGCATGAGGCCATGGTATTGTCCCAGGAACAGCGGTCAGCAGCTGGGTGTTTTACCACATGGTCCCCAAAGGGCAGAGGCTCCTCAGGAAATAGTGGGAGGGATTAATTTTGACAATAATAAACTTTACATGAGGGTCAGTGTGCGTAATAGGATCTAACCAGACTGAACTCTCGCCAAGAGCCTGAAATCAGATCCACCACCAAGTTCAATCCAAGTGTCCTCGTTTCTACACAGAGAGAACATTTCTAATACTTTTATTTAAAGAAATAAAATCAATCGGTGAACTTCATAGGAAGTGTATATAATACATTTCTTGTGTGAACCCCTTTTTGTTCTTTTGGTAGTTTAGAGATATCTGTAAAGATCCGCTTCTTTACTTTTTAACTTCATCAACCCACCTGGATGGAACATGAGGTCAACGATATACACCTCAGGGGGAGGGAGAGCCCCAATCAGTCCCTTATGAGTTTCATTCATCAACTTAATTTCATTCCAAGCTCTGCCATACTCCCCACGAACCAGAGAACAGCCGATGCCAATTTTATCAGCCAGCGCCTGTGGGAGAAAACACAAGAGCAACCAAAAGTGGGGAGGGAGAGGGACAGGGAAAAATCCTTAGCCAGAAAACCCACCTTGTTGAAGGTGAAACGTACAACTCTTGCAAAAAAGGGCTTAGAAAGGAGGCTGAAAAAAAATGTGGAATGTTGTGATAGGAGCGAATACAGTATGATAAGTTCCCTTGTTCCCAGAGATCCTGTAGACTCAAAATCTCTGTGTAGGTCCTGCTGGGAAGTGACATTTTTCAGGCAGTTACACTGCATTGTATCAGCACAAGATTGATAATGTCATTGGAGAAAAGCTATTCCATGGGCTTTCAGCGCTACCGCACCTATCAATCTTTCTATGTTTCTAGGCGGCTCTGTGGGTGTGATATGCAGTGGGATTGAATGGAAGGATCAAATTGGTGGGGACCTTTTCCTTGCTGATTATTCTGTGTGATGGGGACTGTGTCGTGCGCTGTGGGTCGGTCCTTCTTGGGCTGTCTGCTGCCACTTCCTCTGCAGTGGCTTATGTCCCTTGGAAGTGCTCTCTTCAGTTTGCCCTGATTTTGAGGTTATTTTAAAAAGTGTCTTTAAAATAATCTGAAAACTTCTTAGCCACATTGTAGCGTCTTAGCCACTTTCTAGTTATTGTCAATTCGGGCAAATGACAGCCTCCCTGTGCTTCCATTTCTTCATCTGAGAGATGAGAACAACAGAAGAGCCTCCTTCCTAGCAGGGTGTTTGCGGAGATGAAGGAGACGAATGCGTGACAAGTGCTTAGAGTTATGAATGCTGCACAGAGTGGGGACTCAACAAGGGTTCCCAGTAGTAGAAGGCAAGAATTGTGTGGTTTTAATAATCCATGTATATAGTAATGTGATTTATTGATTATTTACAATGTATTGACTACCAGGTAGGCTTTTTTGGGTGGACCAAGACGATTAAGACATGGTTTTCCCTCTTAGAGCCTTCCGTCCTATCTAGTCTGAGCCTGCCTGATAGTCAACTCCAATAAAACAGTATCCAAATGGATGGCGTTCTGTGGTATCGTCATTTATAATAAGAAATACACATTTGGTCTTTGTCCCATTTCTGGCATGGAACTCCTAAATCCTTGGGATCTCCTAAGCGATGAGAACCATAAAAGTGTCTTTATGTTTATGAGGTGACTTCTGGACCGCACTTAAGGATGGGGGTTGTTTGGCAGGGGAACCAATCTTAATTGGAGGGTTACAACATTCAGTCCCATCCACCTCTGGGGAGGGGAGAGGGATTGCAGGTTGAATTAGCCACCTGTGGCAATGATTTCATCAATTCTGCCTATGAAATGAAGCTTCCCTGAAAACCCAAAAGGCAAGGGTTTGGACATCTTCCGGGCTGGTGACCATGTGGAGATGCAGGGAGAGTGGCGCACCTGGAGAGGGGCACCAAGGCTCCAAGCCTTCTCCCCATACCTTTATCCATGCATCTCTTCCATTTGGCTATTCCCGAGTTATACTTTTATGATAAACTGGTGATTTAGTCATCCAAATGTTTCTGAGTCCTGTGAGTCCCTCTAGCAAATTAATCAGCCCTGAGGGGGCTGTGTTCTTGGGAACCTCCAATCTACAGAAGCACAGATGACAACTGGGGCTTGGGGCTGGTTGGCTGAAGTGTGTGTGGCAGGGATGGGACAATGTTGCAGGACCGAGCCCATAACCTGTGGGGTCTGACACTGTCTCTAGGCGGGTAGTGTCGAAATTGAGTTGCATTGAGCTAGCTGATGTCGGAGGACTGGCTGGGTGTATAAAACTGCCCCCCTACCCCCGGGCCTGCCACCCCTCCCCTCATTGGAACTGGTACTTGGATCCACTTACACTCATTGTCTAGTGGGGTAGAGAGTTGAAAACAAACATGTTTTCTGAAATAATATTTATTACTCTCTTAACTCCATGTCAAGGCCCTTTAAATCATCAAAATAATTCTATAAAATAGATAATGATTTCCCATTTTAGATAGCATTTCTCATTTTATGGAGAGTAAAACTGAGGCCAGATCAATTTCCCGAGGAAGGTCACCATAAGTGGCGACCTGATGTGGAAGCCAGGGAATCTGTCCCCGGGAGTCTGAGCTCCTAAGCTCAGGGTGATCCTGCCTCCCACTAAGTGGAATGAATTCCCAGCTGAAAGTCTCCATCTTCTCTGTGAAGTGGGAAACAAGGTCGTCTGCTCCAAGAAAGAGGCAGAGATGAAAGTGTTAGTAGAAGGACGGGCAGGTGTAGGGCAGAGCTGCTGAGGAGAAAAGGGAAAGCTTGTGACCAGGAGCTGGAAAAGAGTGGCCAGGCTACATGACTGTCCATGTGAGTTGGGGATGCTGACTTGGCTGTGGCATTCCCCACTGTCAAGTTCCAAAGCCTGAGCATCACGGTGGAAAGGGCAAGCAATCCGACTGGGCCTGGGGGGACTGGCAAGGTAGTGGGGAGGACAGATAGGGTCAAGAAAGTGAGGGAAGTTAGTGCGTCAGTTATAAGGTCCAAGGATAATTCATCTAGGCTGCCAAGGGGGAAAAGCAAAGCCAAAAAGGAGGCAGCAAACTGGAAGAAAATAGGAGGATGAAGAGTATTCACAGGAGTGAATGATGCAGGAGGGCGGAAGGATACGATTTCATCATTGGTATTGGAGGTCAGAATGTCAGGGGTGGGCAAGACCCGGCTATTGAATTGTGTGACTCCACGCAGGTGTGAGGGTAATAGGTTCACTCTGGCATGATGAGATGGACTGAATATTCGTGCCCTTCTCCACCCCAAACACATATGCTGAAACCTTGATTCCCCAGTTGGGTGGTATTGGGAGATGGATCCTTTAGGAAGTCAGGTTCAGAGGAGGTCATGAACATGGAGCCCCCACTGCAGGATTAATGCTCTTGTAAGAGGAGGAAGAGATCAGAGCCTCCTGTCTGTCTGGGATGTGAGGACACAGGCAGAAAGTGGCCATTGCCAACCAGGAAGAGGGTCCTCACCCGATGCTGACTCCGCTGGCAGCCTAATCTTCGACTTCCCAGCCTCAGCAATTGTGAGAAAAAAGTGTTTACTGATTAAACCCCCCAGAGTATGGGATTTTGTGAGGGTAGCACGAGCACAGTAATACAGTGCCTGTGAGACACTAGGGTGCAGCCCACTGTGCGCAGACATACAGATCAGGAATCAGGAGAGGTTTGTGGGACAGAGGAAAGAATCTGGGTGCCTTTGGCAGTTCATATTTAAGGCCATGTGACCGGAGGACCGCACTGTAGGAAATACATAAAGTGAGAAAAGAGAAGGTCTGGGGTGGAACCGTGAGGGACCCCCACATTGAAGAGGGGTCGAGGAAAAGAGGTCACCAAAGGTGACTGAGATGAGGGGGAAAGAGAGTTCAAAAGACTAAAGAGAGTGGTGTCAAGGGACAAGAAGAACCAGTGACAAATTCTTTGACATATCAAGTAAGACAGATGATAGATTCCTGGGGTCCGTTCTGAGAGGAAACCAAGGCCAGGCTTCGGTGGGCTGAGGAGAAAAACTAAGGAAGCAGAGGAAGGACAAGGTGCTGAGATGACTCTGAATTTTGACCCAGAATGAGAATTATCTACAGATAGAAGCAATGTGGTAGGTTTGATTCAGATAGGCATGGGTTCAGGCTCCAGCTGGGCTTCTGGTTGACCTTGGGTAAGTTCCCTCTTTGAGTTCAGTTTTCTTGTCTTTCAAATAAGGGTAGTAATTTCAACCTTTGGCATTTCTGAGACTTTCACAATTGCATTTATCAAGTGCTTGACGCGTAGTTCAAAATGATGGTGGTCATGGTAATAGGAGCTTTGGGAGTAGTTGTAGCTATGATGAGAAAAGATTTCTATTTCCTCTTTAAGTAGTATAGACTTAACTTTAGATTTTCAAGGAAAAACAGCTAATAGAGAGAAAGATTGAAGATAGGAGAAAATTCGATAAAGCAAGAAATCCAAGAAAATAGGGAAGGCTGGCATTTGGATTAGAGATCAAATTAGCTTAGAACTGGAAACAAGATACACATGGATGTAAAGAGGTTTGTAGGTATTTGGGAGGAGGTAGGAATCTTTACATTTAGTCTATAGTTCAAAAACCATTTTTGCAGCTCCTATTATAGTCCAGATACTTGAGACAATGGAGGAAAAAACCACCTACTTCTTTCTTGAATCTGATCCTTTTTGAGTGTCCTCATCTCAGTGACTAATGCCGTCATTACCAGTTGCCCCACCCAGGACCTGAATCACTTTGTTCTTCTCATGCAATCCCTCATACCACTAGGCAGACACCAACTGTTTTCAGTTGTATCTCTTAAATCTCCCTGTACACTCACACCTTCTTTCACGCCCTCACAGCTATGGCTGTAGTAAAGGTCATCTGTAGTTCTTGCTCCAGTGATCTTCCAGTTGGTCTTTCTGTCTCCAGTCCTGCCCCTGCCTAATCGATTCCCCATTCTGTTGTCTGAATGGTGTTTCAAAATCATGTTACTGCTTTCCCCTTAACCACATTCAGTGGCTCTCACAGATTTTAGGGTCAAGTGCAAACTCCCACGGTGCTCTGTGATCTGCCCGTTAGCCTCACCCAACCCCTCCTCTTTCCTGCATCCAGACAAACTACTCTGCATTCCTCCAATGGACCAGGGACTCTCATTCCTGTTACTTTGTATAAAATGTTTGCTTTGTTTAGAATGCTCTTGTCTTCCTTCTTTACCTGCTGAATTTCTATGTAGCCTCTAATATTCAGGCTGCATATCACTTCCTCCCCTGAAACCTTCCCTGACATCTCCTTAGAACCCACAAGTCTCCTTAGGTAGCTGGTGTAAGGGCTACCAATTTCATATCTCTATATTCCCAGATCTTAGAAGAGCCCTTGGCCTATAGTAGATGTATGATAACCGTTGAATGAATATGCTTCTGATAGTCTAGCAAATATACACATACATATATATCTCAAGTAGAAGTAACTCTAAACGATAGGGTTAATATTAGCCAGTTAAATGTTAGCCACTGGCTCACACCATCATGATAAAGACCAACAGTTTTACCTACTGGCAAATGAAGCAAAACATCTTAAGTACCTTGAAAAGCAAAGCTCGATGGTAGAAGATTCCTTGTTTGATCAGTCCAATTGGTACAACATTGGATTTAAGTTGAAATTTTAGTTCACTTATATGAAGTTCCCAGCTGAAATCATGTAGTTTCTCTTTTGAAACTTTACCACCCATTTTTTCTGCCACATACCTGTTTCAATTACATTGAGATCAAATTAATCAAGTTTAATATCTCACTTTGGATGCTTTGAGTATAACTGTATGTGCAAAAACTATATTTCCTCTGACTTTTATTATTGGCTTTATTTTTTAAACTTACTATAAGTGTGTTAACATTATGCCTATTGTCTTCAAACTACCATGTGTAAACTGAAATTCTATTTCATTCAACACAAAGGAAGAAATAAATGCTAATTTCAATATTTACAACAAGATATAAATCAATATCATACTAAATTTGTATCAGAGCAGTCTTAAAGTTCTATCTTGCTCTTGAAGAATATTTTCAAACGTTTCAATCTGAAATCCAAGGCATTATACTAACATATGGTCCTTCTTTTAAGGAATTTGAACACAGGGATAATAAAAACACACTGGAAATTTTCCCATTGGATTCCCAAATATTTTCAAGTCCTATAAGTGTTTTCCTTTTAAATTGTCTTTTTTTTTTTTTTTTTAGAGGCATTTATGTAACACTGAAATGAGAGGAGAGAGGAAGGGGGCAGAAGGAAAACTAATTAAGTTGGGTGGTGTGCTTTGCCTGGGGGTTTCCTCCTTATTGGAAGCTCTCCTACAGAAGTTAGTACACACACCTCCAAAAATCCTCTGTTGAAGGCTCCTACATCTTGGAGTAGAGGCAGAATTGCAAATTTTAAGAAAGAATTTCCTCTTGCTGTCCATAGGATCAAGCAAAGAAGAACAATGGCGAAAACCAGAAAGGGGCGGGGAGAGAGCTGCCGCGTGGACTCCGCCAGATGTCCTATAATTAATGTCGGGAACCAAAGGCACAGGGACAAAACTCTGGATCTCGCCGCATAAAGGGCTCAGGTTAAAAAAACAAAAACAAAAACAAAAAAACCCCAATTATTTGGGAATGATGAAAAGTGTTCCTGATAGGAACAGAGCATGGGACATCTGGCAAATGCTGAAATGAGCTCAGAGTTCTGCGCACGTCATCACTTCTCAAGGACATCAGGAAAACTTCTGTCGCCAAAAATGTTCTCTTCCAGTTCTGGCTGCCGAGAAGTCAATGATCTGGCGGCTGTGTTTCTTGCAGTTATCACACCCCGGTTTGATGAGTGCAAGGCACGTCTACTTGGAGTAGATCCAGGCTCTCGTGGAGACTACAGCTGCTGTAGGATCCAGTAGCTCACTTACGGGTTGTTGGTGCCAGCTACGGAGGCCACCCTCCGCTTCCTGTGATTCCTAATCCCTTACAGCTACCAAGTCCAGTTCTCAGATTTCTCTTAGTGGACTCACATTAAATGCTCTAATGAGGAAGGCAACGTCACCTGGCGTCCGCAGAGCGTGGAGCCTGCCCGAACAGCCACCCCTTAGAGAGCGCACACCCTCACTTGAGAGCAATGCGAAATGCGAAATACCAGACATCTATCTGATCAAAAAATCAGTGATAGCTATTTGTATCAGAAAAGAATTTGTGGGGCTGGGGTAACCTGGTGATGGGCATTAAGGAGGGCATGTGATGCAATGAGCACTGGGTGTCATAGAAGACCGATGAATCACTGAACTCTACCTCTGAAACGAATAATACACCACATGTTAATCCACTGAACTTCAATTTAAAAAAATCAAAAAAAGAAAATAATTTGTGAGTTTGCAAAGAATTCACAACAGGATTCCTTTAAATCATGAGCACCCCATGTACCTAAGGAGTAATTTAATTTTTTCTTTCTTTTTTTTTTTTATTTTTGGAGTAATTTAATTTTCAAACTTTGATTCATTCCTAACTTCTTCAGGATCACATTGAACGATGCCTTTAATGGTTTAGCTGGAGAAAATGACAGAAGCATTTTTCTTTAAGCAATTTCCAGCTCCTAGCTCTGATTCTTGGCGGAAATGGGACCTAAAATAGAAATTGGGCATTTTTTCAATTTATTGTGTTTCTGCTTCAGGGTCAGGAGTAGGGGGCAGTAATTATGGTGTCGTTAGCTGAAAATGGGCTAAGAAATGCAAACCACTAAAATCAAAAACTTTACTTCAGAAACTTAAAATGCCTATGTAGATAGACACAACTTACTTGGCGAGAGCCTCAATCTGCTCCTTGATATTCGTTATGGGGAATATTGACTTGGTCACTTCATATACATAAACACAGAAGTCCAGGTCGGAGGGAGGGTACCATTCTTTATCGGGGCTCCCTTCTCCGATCAGTTTGGGGACTGCTGCAACCTCTTCTTCCTCCTTCACTTTTTCCTCTTCTTTTTTCCCTCGGCCTTTCCTTTGAGAGGAAATGGCAGCAATCAGAGTCATGAAATGAACAGGCAGTAACTGCGCTCCGAGTTCATCTGAAGAGCGCCCCAGAAATATAGTTTATACCTTAACGACCGTATCATATGCAGCTTTCAAATTTTTGATGACAATGATAGCATTTTATAGTCTCTATATTACGTAAGAGAAATTAGCTTTCAAGATAATATGACATGACTGATACGTATTATGAAAATCGTACACTGGTCTTGCCTACGATTGCCTAGCTGGATGTCTGGTGCGTAGTAGGTACGTAATAAACATTTATTGAATTGGGAAAAAAATAGGTTGCCTCCTCAGGGAGTCTAAGCCGGTCTTACATCCTTTCTTGCTTCGGTTGAGACCTTCTGCAGGAAGAGTCTGAATCACTGTGTTTTAAAAAAAGAATGATCCAAAACATGGAAAAAAAGCAAAACAAAACAAGGCTGGCATCCATGTCACGCAGGAGTGAAGACTTACTTAAGTTTATCTTTTTTTTTTTTTTTTAAAGATTTTATTTATTTGACAGAGAGAGACAGCACAAGCAGGCAGAGTGGCAGGCAGAGGGAGAGAGAGTAGTAGGCTCCGCGCTGAGTAAGGAGCCCGATGCGAGACTTGATCCCAGGGCCCTGAAATCATGACCTGAGCCAAAGGCAGTGCCTTGACCGACTGAGCCACCCAGGCATCCCTTACCTAAAGTTTATCTAGTGAAATGCACTTAATTCTGTACTTAGGAAAACTGGAATGTACTTAGTTGTAAAGATACTGTTTAATTAAAACATTCTGTGAATTAATTGCTTCAAACTTAGAGAATTTGCTAGCTAACATGTGTTTGTTTAGTAGAGATGCAAACTATTTCTGTGGATTGAGAAGATCTTGCCAGAGGCTATAGTTTATTGTCCTGTAGGATACTAACTAGTTGTTGTTGTTTTTTATGTAACTCAGTGATCTTTTCCTAACATTCCTTAATTAAACTGGATATAAATACCTAGATCCTCAAATGTCCTTTGGACCAAATGTCCTTTGGACTAATACTAACATCTTACTGGTTCCCTCATTAACTTATGAGTTGGGCAAAAGTAATGACATGTGTTCTCATTCCAGGTAACATGGAGTAGGCACATTTAATCCTGTTCCTCCTACTGAATACAGTCCATCAAACCCAGACGGGATTCGACCACTACTTGAAGACTCTGAAAAGCAAATGGTAGCAGGAAGAGCTGAGAAAATCTTTTGAATTATTACTGAACAGATGGTGAGTTTATTTTTTTCTCCAGTATTTTCCAAACCAGACACAGCTCAAAATCTGGAAGTAGTCATTAGCACAGACAGAGCTCAAGGAGGAGCCCTCTTGAGAAACAGAAAAGACACAGGGTGGAGAAAAGCTGTGTTTTGTTGTGTTCTTTTTTTTTCCCCTCCATTCTTTTGTGCCCCAGCCCCTAAGGAATCCTGTGACAGTGGTGGCAGTGGTGACATGGTGACATCAGCATTTCATAAGAACCTAAAATTACTTTATACTTGCTCAGTCCTCATGTTGCTTGGCTGGAGATATAGGGCCAGTCATGGTAAGAGTACAGCAGGGCAGGATAAATGAAGTTTTCTGGCTTGAGGACCAAAAAGAAACCTCCAAGGAACCAACAAAGACAAGGGAGATCACGAAGAGGGAAAAACTCAGGAAAAAAAAAAAATCAAGTTATTTATGAATTCTTAGGCTTACCGCCCCCGCCCCCCAAGCTGTGTATACATGGTTCTGACCCTAAACAGTACATCACAGATTTTGAGGATGGAACAATGGGACTGACCACCACCCAAATCCTAAGCTGGACACACAGTCAGGACTGCTCCAAATAGCACTGCCAAGCTTTTGGAAACCAGACTGACCGTGGAAATGACAACCCACGAAACACTGGCTGAAACTTGCTTAAGATTGGAAGCAGCTGGGTCTGAGTGCCTGACTGTCTCAGTTGGAAGAGTGTGTGACTCTTGATCTTGGGGTCGTGAGTTTGAGCCCCCACGCTGGGTGTAGAGATTACTTAAATAAAATACAACTTAAAAAAAGAAGAAGAAGAAGAAGAAATCAACTGGGTCAACTACTGGCTAAAACAGACACACAAAAAAGACATTTTTCTTTGAAGGCATATAAAAATAAAACTCATTCACTAATATCTTGATTACTGTATTTTTATCACAAATCATTAAATCAGAGACATTCAACTTTATTCTTCTTTTTCAAAATTATTTTACATACCTTCCCATAAAGTTTTTAGAATTAGCATGTCTGTATCTACAGAAAATCCTACTGGAATTTTGATGGAATTATACCAAATTTATAGATCAATTTGGGAGAAATCCGACATTTTTACTATGTTGAATTTTCCAACACATGAACATGGTATATCTCTTCACTCATTCAGTGACTCTTTGATTTCCTTTGTATTTGATGGTTCTCAATGTATAAGTTTTGTTTCACTTTCATTTTTGTTTCATATTTCATTTTGAAATCTATTAAAAATGATAGTCAGCAAATTTTGGGGTTTCAATTTTTTATTGTCAGTATATAGAAATATGATTTCTGTGTATTGACCTGATATCCTGATCTATTGCTAAACTCACCTATTAGTCCTATGAGGTTTTTTAAAAAGTAGATTCTTGGGGCGCCTGGGGGGCTCAGTGGGTTAAAGCCTCTGCCTTCAGCTCGCCTCATGGTCCCAGGGTCCTGGGATTGAGCCCCGCATTGGGCTCTTTGCTCAGCCGGGAGCCTGCTTCCTCCTCTCTCTCTCTGCCTGCCTCTCCGTCTATTTGTGATATCTCTCTCTGTCAAATAAATAAGTAAAATCTTTAACAACAACAACAACAAAAAAGTAGATTCTTTAAGGATTTTCTTTTCTTTTTAAAAGATTTTATTTATTTATTTGACAAAGATCACAAGTAGGCAGAGGGGCAGGCAGAGAGAGAGGAGGAAGCAGGCTCCCCACAGAGCAGAGAGCCCAATGCAGGGCTCAATCCCAGCACCCGGGGATCATGACTTGAGCCAAAGGCAGAGGCTCAACCCACTGAGCCACCCAGGCACCCCTCTTTAAGGATTTTCTATTTAGACTATCTTGTTGTCTGCAAATAGGAACTATTTTCCCCCCCCCTCACTTTCCAATCTTCATACTTCTAAAAACTGCCTTATTGCAATGTGTAGGCCTTCCAATACAATGTTGAATAGGAGTGATAAGAATAGTTATCCTTGTTTTGTTCATGATCTTGTCAGAAAAGCATCCAGTCTTTCACCATTAAGTAAGATATAATCAGTATTTTTCTTCACCCCTCCGTGGATGCCTTTCATCAGATAGAGAAAGTTCCCTTATATTCCTATTTTGCTGACAGTTGTATTTTTTATCATAAATAATGTTGAATTTTGTCAAATAATTTTTCTGCATCAATTAATATGATCATGTAGGTTTTTTTCTTTATACTGTCAATATGGTAGATTACATTGATTTTCAAATGCTGAACCAGCCTTACATTCTTGGGATAAACTCCTCTTGGATGAATTATTCTTTTTATGTATTGCTGGATTTGATTTGCTAATATTTCATGGAGGACTTTTACATCTGTATTCATGATGGTTACTCAGCAGTAATTTTCTTTTTCTTTTTTAAAGATTTTATTTATTTATTTATTTGTCAGAGAGAGCGAGCGAGCGAGCGCACAAGCAGGCAGAGGCAGAGAGAGAAGCAGGCTCTCCGCTGAGCAAGGAGTCTGATGGGGGACTTGATCCCAGGACCCCGGGATCATGACTCGAGCCAAAGGCAGTGGCTTAACCCACTGAGCAACCCAGGCATCCCCATAATTTTTTGTATAACCACCTTTTCTGATATTGGCATTAGGATAATACATTGGGAAACATTTTCCCTTATTTCTTGGAAAAGACTATTTAGAGTCGTTATTAGTTCTTGAAATATTTAGCAGAATTTACAAATTAAACATCAAGGTCAGTAGATTCTTTTTAGGAATGGTTTTATGAATTCAGTTTCTTTCATAGTTCTGGATTATTTAGTCATCCATTTCATTCTTGGTGAGTTTTAGTAGTTTGCAGTTTTTGATGAATTTGCTCATTTCCTCTAAGTGGCTGAATTAAAGTGCTCATAGCATTATCCTTCAATGTGTGTAGGGTTTGTGATGTTAATTCCTTCTTTCATTTCTTAATATTGATAATTTACATATTTTCTTTTTTATGTTTTGTCAGTCTTGCTAAAAGTTTTTCAATGTTATTGATGTTTTTAAAGAATAAGCTTTTGATTTCATTTGCTTTCTCTGCAGTTTTTCTGTTTTCAATTCCATTGATTTCTGGCCCTTTTTATTTTCTTCCTTCTCCTTGTATTGGGTTTTCTTTGTTTTTTTTCTAGTTTGAGGTAAGAGCTTAGCTTACTGACTCAAGACCTTCCTTTCATTTTAATACATTTAGTAAAATAAATTTCCCTCTAAGCACTGCTTTGCTTTTATCCCACAAATTTTGATATGCTATATCTTCACCTTCATTCAGTTCTTTGTAGTTTTAAACTTCCTTTGAGACTGTTGTCCCATAGTTTATTTAAAAACGTGTCATCAATTTCTGCCCATCTAGAGATTTTCTTGTTGTCTTACTGTTGTTAATTTCTAGTTTGTTTCTATAATGGTCAGAGATCATACCCTCTATGATTTCAATTATTTCAAAGTTGCTTAGCTTTGTTTTATGACCCTGGGTATTTGTAAATGTTCCACATGAAGTTGAAAAAATACGTCTTCTGTTGTTAGTGGTGGAGTGTTCTATAATATATTGATTAGATCCTATTTATTGCTGGTGTTGTTCAAATCTTTTATATCTTTGCTGATTTCAGGTCAAGTAGTTCTGTCAGTTGCTCAGAGGAGAGTGTTGAAATCCTCAGCCATAATTTTGGACTTGTCTATTTCTACTTTCTGCTCTATCAGTTTTTGCTTCATGTATTTGAGGATCTGCTGTTTGGT